GTACCATAAAGAAATTTATACCATTATGTTATGGTACAACTTTATAACTTGAAGTTGTACCATCATATAAAGGTACAAGTTCAAGTTGTATAATAAAAGAATTTGTACAAAAAGTATAGGTACAATCTGAAGTTGTACCATAACGTTAAAGGTACAATTTCAAGTTGTACCATAAAGGAAAAAACCTATAGCACCAATACTATATAACTTTGTAAAATTCCTCATGGCTGGTGAGGTAATAACCGAGGCACGTCAATTTTTGGCTGTTTTTTATTTCAATTTAAAACCTAAATTAATTTTAATATTAGGATGATTTTTCCCTTATATGTTGTGAGATTGAAGGGGCTTCTTATACTTTGACAAAACTTGGCGGTAGTAGGCCCAGGTCCATCATTGGTTATCGAACACGGAGTCAGAAGTGAATTACGAGTGGGACCAATAATTTGACAATCTACGAATCGAGCGAGCTCCCCTTGCATGCAATGATGAAAAGAGATGTTACTCTCTTGAGAGTACGGGTATGAAAGGGATGGTGGCTGTTGAATTAGGATTATGGTTACCAAGCGTAGTGATATTGTGTACATACTTAAGAAGATAGATTAATGTACTAAGTTTGCAAATTCAATCTCAATGACATAGTACAGGTAGGCTTATCTTTTTCAAACTACACAAGCTGCAAGTTTGGCCGCTTGGAAGCACACGAGTTAGCTGCTTATATAAGTTTTGTTGAATATGATTTGTTTGGTCTGGATCTCACTATGCCACACCGTATAGACGTAGTATGGTCTAGAATCTAGATCATATTGTACATGATCTGATCCATGGTTTATGCTCTATCCTCTAAGTCTGCACACATACGATATATATTTTTGAGCCTCATCAAACCCATATGGATTGCAATACATCCACCCTGCTTTATTTTCTCTTCCCCTACACTTAATCTGTGCAGCATGAGTGCTATATTAATTTATTTTTAGTCCATCAAATTGCTTAAATTTAAGCTCATGAGCTGCATTTTGTATTCTCTGCAATTATACTAGATAAATTACATATTATATTTTAAACATCACTTTGACATATATTATCACAAATTTGATTGATGAAGTTCATGAATTGTCCATGAAAAGATCAAATATGTTCACCTAAAAATATTAGAGTTAGTTCTTTCACTTTTAAAGAGAAATCTTATGATGTTTACCAAACAACACAAAGATTTGTTCAACTGGAGAAATATATTCATTTCGATTATCTTCTTCCATTAAGGCGAGAGGTTTAAAATCTTCGTCCTTTTAATCGCCCTATGTTCTATGTACTTTTTTCACACGTCTTCATTATATATATATATTCTCAATAACTATTCAGTGTGGCAACGAAATTTCTATGTTGAGGGTCATCTGGTCTTTGACCCGAACACAATACATTGTCCAACTAACTATTGATGACAACTTTGCATCGTAACTCATATATTTCAAATCTCGCAACTTCATATTCATCATCTAGGTACACAGTTTCTACGGGGCGGTATAGGTCTCCCAATATGTAACAGAGGTGTGTAAAGGTTTGCTTGCTCCGGTCGGAGATTAGCCATCGAGTCATGTGATCAACAAGAATGAATTGTCTTGATAAAGGTTCCCTTGGTACCATCAAAACCCTCACCTAATCACAATGCTACGGTTTTACAAAACTTCAAGGGCTCGCGCACAAGTGCGAGCACCACACAATCTATATTGGTGAACTCATGTTTTATGGAGAAATGCGCCATTTGATAAAAATAAAACAAAATATTCTAAAAATGACATATAAAATTTGAATTAATGAGTAGTTTCTCACATCAACGTGTGACAGCTCATATTCTAAAAGGTTTATAAAATACATTCATTGTTTATTTTGAGACTCAAACATTTTTCAATGTATACAACTAAAAATTCATTTATAAATTCATTCTTTATTAACTTAATAGCTGAAAAGCCGTTTTTATAGCTTGCAGTAATAACAAACAACGTCAACAATAACTTGAGAAGCAAGTTAAGTGAAGAAGAAATTGAGATTTAGTATTTCTTTGCAAATTTCTGTGAGGGGAGGAGATTTATTTTCTAAAAATTTTGAGAAAGGATTTAAACTAATATATCATTTGTTTTAATATTGAATTGGAGTATTAAACATTTTGGAAACGATATATAATCCTTAAATTAGGAGAAATTTTCAGCCCGATTGACCAATAACCTTCGATCGTATGCTAATCTGACATCGATCCAATAATCATAAGATGAGATTTAGTTTGATATGGCGTCGGTTCAAAACCATTTTTATGTGGAATTAATTTGTACGGCAAATACATGTAAATTGAAGATGAACCTGATTATGCATTTTGATTCTTTATATAAATACAATGGTTTAAGGCTTTAAGCGATAAACTAACTATACATCCACTCGATTGGTTTAACGAGTTCTGCTTTTTATCACTTTTAATAATTAGTTTTTTTCATGAATATGCGACCATCTATTCGCCAGGTTTCAAGTGCTCTGATTCACACTATCGACTGTGAATGGAGAAGAAACATTTTGAACGCAAAATTGTAGAAGTAATTGGGTTGTTTCTAGGTTTTCTCGATTCCAGGAGGTGGGAAGAAGATGAAGGGAAAAGGGGAAAGTTGTGAAACACAAAGCTGGGAAATAGAGATGGAAGAATAAATGGAAAAACAAATAGGAAGGCAAATAAAGAGTGAGAGGACAAATTTAAAAGAGGAGGAAAATGAGGTAGTGTGAAATAATTGTCCTTCTGCTTTGATTAGTGGATATTCTTGGCCCTATTATGTTGAGTTTTGATTTATTTTAGGAGATGACATTATATTTGACATATTTTTCTATTTCAATTTAAAATCTTAAATAAATATTATCATTTGGAAGATTTTTTCCTTAATACGATTATTGTAATTTCTGAGATTTAAGGGTTATTTGATAATGTCAATATTTTAGTGTTTTTTATTTAAAGTTTGTATTGAAAGGACATACTAAACTCTATGAGACATTTTATTTCCTCGATCCTAAAGGTTGATTATGTATGTATTATGAGAAATAACTATAATATTCAACTATATGGTTTAATTAAGTAATGGATGACAATTAGTTATATTCTTTTTTCATTCAATAATTATATGCAATGCTTATATTACATTTTTTCTCTTTTCATAGAGGTCTAAACACATTATGCATAGTTTGATCACTTTCAAAAATGTTATGTGCATAACTAAGATAGAAAACAATCATTTCATGTATTTTAAATGATCTATTATATCCATAATTATATATTATATTTTTTCGACAAAATTCTTCCAGCCAACGGGTCGGATTATAGTATATTGAGAAGTAGAAAAGGTGGCGTAAGCATAACCCTCCATTTTGTACTTGGTCACCCACCTTTAATTTGTTATCTAAATCTAACTTCCCAACTCCATTAAGCCGCTCCATAAATCCCGTGCCCCCAGATCAGACTATGAGAATACAGTTAAATTGCATCAATTGTCGTTTTCTGAGTAATCATTCCCAAAAATACGCACAGCCTATGCATGCATAGGGCTGGCATTTCGGTTTCCGGTTACCAGCTAACCGAAAACCGACCGGTTATCGTGATGGTCGGTGGTCGGATGGGAAAAGGAAGGGGTCGGTTGACCGAGTAACCGACGGTGGTTAACCGCAGTTATCCGACTAACCGAGCCCAACTGAGATCCACTTAACCTTCCCAATATCCTGTCCAGATTCATTCATCGCCATTCTCACATCACATCTGCAAAGTTTCCCAAATCCAGGAGGAGGAGGAGGAGGAGGAGGAGGAGGAGGAGGAAGAAGAAGAAGAAGAAGAAGAAGAAGAAGAAGAAGAAACTCACCCCGCCTCCACCCTCCTGCCGCCTCCGCGTTCCATCGCCGACCGCCGAAGAAAAAGAAGAAGAAGAAGAAGAAGAAGAAGAAGAACTCACCCTGCCGCCTCCACCCTCCCATCGACCCCGCGTTCCACCACCGACCGCCGTCTCCCAGCGACGCGCGGCGACGTTCCACGATCCCCCAGCGACCCCCTCGATGGCTCCACCCCGGCGACACCCCTCGCGTTCGCATCGAGTCTCCCCCACACCGCCACACCTCCTTCCCCGCATGGACCTCCCTCCTCGCCGGCGCCAGTATCCCGGCCGCCGAGAGCCCGAGGCCTCTTCCGCCTTCTCCCTCCCCCTCCCTGACCTCCATCGCCGGCGCCAATATCCCAGCTGAGCCTAGCGAGTCGCCGCCGCCCTTCAATTAGATGAGATTGCAGAGTTTGCGGTTAGGGTTAGGGATAGGGATTTGGGGATGGAGAGTGGGGAAATGGGTTTGGGCGAGGGGTGTGGGTTTTTGTTTGGTTTTGGACATGATTGCATTGTTGTTGTTGCTGCTTTGTTAATGAAGATTGAGTAAGAAACATTCACATAGAAATCGACAGGAAGCTGGATGATGAATGAATGTCCTCTGTTTTGATTTTTGAATGTTGATGGTTGAGAATTGGGGATGAATGGCGGAACCGAAACGGGGATGAATTGGGGATGAATGGTTGAGAATCAGGGCGGTTCCCGGTCGGTTAGGCCATTGAACCGAACCGCCCATCAATCTGTTGGTTGCCCTGGTTTAACCGCGCCTGAACCGAAAACCGTCCTGTCGGTTTGCGGCTAACCGGGACTCTAGGGTCGGTTGGTTGACGGTGGCTTCTGATCAGGTCTCGGTTTAACCGAAAACTGAGAATTCGGTTTTCGGTTAAACCAAAACCGACCGGTTGCCAGCCCTAATTACGAAGCATGCATAATTACGAAGCCTTTGACTGACTGCTCCCCTTCCTCCTTTGACCGTTGGCCTTTATTCTTTGTTCCTTTCTCTCTTTTTCTCTCCCGTTTCCAAAGACAAAAAAGCAACCATTTCTCGGGAACTAGAGATTATTTATATGCATGTATTTATACATGTATTATAATATCTGATATTCTTAGAATAGAGTCTATTGCTGTTTGCTAACCAACGCCCTTCAACGCAAAAAAAAAAAAAAAAAAAAAAAAAAAAAAAAAAACAGACTCTACTGCCGCCCTTCCAAAGGCCGTCATGTCCGATCAACATTTTCCACATCAGTGCCCTGAACCTGAAGCGGGCAACAGACATCTCACACGTGTTCTTCGTCGAGCAGGAAAAGTCGGTCACTTCTTCTCAAGGGAGCAGATCGCTAGATCCCCGACTCCCATCCTGCTGCGCGCCTCCGTTCTCAGAGACGCCATCCTGCCAGTGATCAAAACAGCCATCCGCCGTCAACTTCCACCCAATATGAGTCAATCACTAGATGTCGACCGTCACGCAGCACATCTCTGCTATGGCGTTTGCGTCATGATCTATCTAAAGCTCCGGTCCGTTCACTCCCTGGACTCCGAGCGCATGATGAAGTACGCAACGAAGCCTGAGGTTCCTAACAACTTTAGGGTCCTCGCTCCTTACGCACTCGCAATCTCCCAGCTCGGTATGCTCAACGTAACCAGTTTGACACGCGAGGTGCGCCTCACCCCTGATGTCGATGCAGCGGACGCCGGTTCCTACCTCCTGCCAAGTGGCGCCACGTGGTGTCCGGCCGCTTATGGGCAAGCCTGCGAGTTCGCTGAGAAGATTGGGTTGCTGCTCGGCCCCGTGGACCTATCTCAGAAGATTGGATCCAGCTGGTGGGTGTACAAAGTTAGGGTTGAAGAAGATATCATGACACTGCAATGCCCAATACCTGAAGACAACTTCTCCGTCGAATCTGCACTGGTAAGGTCCTTGTTCCTGCGAACGGACGGCTCTGAAGGCGACAACTGGATCTTCGAGGTTGAGAGTTTCAGTCTCGATGATTACGGCTCCATGTTGCGCAATCCTCCCGAGGATATCGCCATCACCACCTTCTTTGCGGTTGAATGGAACGAATGAGATTGGACTGATTGGTCATTAATTAGCGATTAAGCAGAAGTTTTAGTCTTGTTTTGTTATTGAGAAGTAAGGGAGCGGACAGTTCGTTAATATGAGTCTCTTGTGTCTGATTGGTAATTTTCCAGCTGGTTGCAGTCCTTTAAATAGTGTGAAGTGTTGGTGCTGGTGCAGTGGCTTACTAGCTGCAACTTTCATATATAAGACTATTTATGTTATCCATAGAGCCCGTTTTTGGTGTTACTGTACTGAAGTTCGTTCTTGGAGCTGTCTAGCGACATTCCAACCATCCCTGGGCGAGTTTGATGATCGATGGTGGTTAAAGATTGAACCACCAGCAACCTTGTCAAGGAGGTTGTATGGTGAGGGAATTGTTTTGAGTACACGAGCAGCTTAGTACAGGGGAGCGGGGTGTTGTTATAGTAACAGCAGGATAAAAGGGTCAATTAACAAAATATAACAAAAATCGAAATTTGGACGAATTAAAACCCTGCTTAGCCACTCTCCTCTTTCCCCATATATGGGCTTGAAGTTTGCACAGGCATCAGACACCATGTGCTAACAAATGAGGGTTATCGGGATTCGAACACAAGACCTTTCGGTTACAGAAGGCTCTGATACCATGTTAGACAATCGGAACGTAGATATCTAGAAGCAAACACGAAACAAGCTAGAAGAATCGGAACGGAGATAACACACATAGATTTACGTGGTTTCCTTGATCTGTGTGATCAAGACTACTCCACGGTCGAAGCTAGTGTCACTCGTATTAACTTAGCCTCGAACAAGGTCTGCAACACACATATATACATATGTATAACCCTAGCCGAGATAGAAGAAGGAGTTCGGCCAAGGCTCTAAATCAAACTACTATGGCCTACACTACTGGATTACATGGTCTACGTAATTGGGCTTCAGCCCACATATTACATGATCATCTCTTCACTCAACAGCCTCCCCCAAATTGATGGAGGTCTCGCATCATCAATTTGCCAGCAAGATAAGAGTGGCGACTAGCAGTGAAGGACTTAGTGAACATATCGGCAATCTGATCCTTAGAACACACATAAAAAATGCGAATTGTACCAGCACGAACTAGATCCCGAATATAGTGAACGTGCACCTCGATGTGCTTGGTGAGATCATGCATAACCGGATTCGTCGCAATCCGAATAGCACAGGTATTATCCACACGAAGCTGCATAGGAACGTCGGAGTCAACCCCAAGGTCACCAAGCAAGCGTTTGAGCCACTGAAGCTCCGAAGTAACATAGGACATTGCCATGTACTCGGCTTCAGTAGATGATTTGGAAACCCGATCCTGTTTCTTACATCTCCAGGAAATAAACGAGCCACCAAACTACACACACCACCCTGTCGTGGAACGACGTGTATCAACACATCCAGCATAGTCCGAATCTGAAAAAGCCTGCAAAACAGGAGAACCAGTAGAAGGAAGAAACAGACCAACGCCCCGAGTACCTTTGAGGTACCGCAAAAGTCTGTGAACAGTAGTGAGATGAGCTGTGCGGGGAGCAGACATGAACTGACTCACCACCTGGACAGCAAAGGCAATGTCGGGAAGCGTCGAAGTGAGATAAATGAGACTGTCGACAATGCTACGATATTGCTTTCCCCCGTCCGACAACAACTCACTGGTCTCCTTCCCCGGCTTCAGATTAAGTTCCATCGGGGTAGAGACAGGAATACAGTCACGAAACTAAGCAGCATCAAGAAGATCATCAATATACTTCTGTTGGCCAAGAAGAATGCCGTCCCGAGAACGCTGAACCTCGAGACCCAAGAAGTATGATAAAGAGCCGAGTTCCTTGAGAGAAATCGATGCATGTAAACCCTTAGTAAGGGTCTGAATACCCACCTCATCATCACCACTTACAATCATATCATCCACATAAAGGAGAAGCACAACTATACCATGGGTGGAACGACGAGTGAACAATGAGGGGTCATTATCACTCTGATGGAAACCAAGACTAAAAATGGTGGAGTGAAACTTATCAAACCAGGCCCGGGGAGCCTGTTTAAGACCATAGAGAGACCGCTGCAACAAACATACCTCATCTTTACTTCCATCTGAATAACCTGGAGGAAGCTCCATATACACAGTCTCCTTGAGATCCCCATGCAGAAATACATTCTTCACATCCAGCTGATACAGGGGCCAACGACGAAGGGATGCCACGGCTAGGAGAGTACGAACCGAGACCATCTTGGCAACGGGGGCGAATGTCTCTTCAAAATCAATGTCGTACTCCTGACTGAACCCCTGAGCAACAACCCTAGCCTTGAACCTGTCAAGAGAACCATCGGGAAGAAATTGAAGATTATAAACCCACCGAGAGCCACAACTGGTGCATCGAGCGGACGAGGAACAACAATCCAAGTCTGATTGGCGCGAAGGGCGGCCTTCACTTCATCCATTGCACGTTCCCAATTCGGATCCCCCTTGGCCTGCGAGTACTTAGTGGGGATGGTAATGGGATCAACACTATAAGTCACATAATCACTGTGCCGAAGAGGAAGAACACCCATCATGGTGCGCAGGGAGCGACGGAGAGGAGGTGGAGTCGGTGGAGCCGAGGGCGACAGAGGAGTCGACAGAGATTGCGGAGTCGGTGGTGGAGAGGGAGGCGGGGAGTTGCCGGGTAGCTGTTCAAGACCAAAGTCATCTTCGTCATCGCTATCGGAGAAGGAAGGAGGACCGAGAGATTTGTCAAACAAGGGAGGAGAGGACGAAGATGATAAGTAGAACATCTGATTTTCCATGAAGACGACATTACAAGCAACACGGACAAGCCTAAGACCAGGACCGTAATAAAGATAGCCTTTATAAATGTCACTATAACCAAGGAAGGCACAACGGACAGTTTTGGAGGACAATTTGGTACGTTCAGACCGAGGAAGGAGTACAAAACACAGGCACCCAAACACACGAAGACGGGAGTAAGGAGGATGCTTGTTAAACAGTTTTAAATAGGGAGATGATTGACCCAAAACCGGTGTGATTTGGTAATTAATTAACCGAACAGCCGTGGATACTGTTTCGGGCCAGAACGAGGAGAGAACATGTGACTCCATGAGGAGAGCCCGAGTCACTTGCACGACATGGCGGTTTTTACGCTCTACCAAATCATTCTGTTGAGATATACCATGACAAGATTTATGAGTGAGGATGCCAAAAGACTGGTAAAGATTCAACAGAGGATGAGAATTGAATTCCCCACCGGGATTGGAACGAACTACACGGACAGTCCTATTAAACTGAGTTTTGATCATTTGAATAAATTTTGTGGCAACTGATAAGAGGTCAGATTTAAGTCTCATAAAATACACCCATGTAAATCTAGTAGCATGATCAACAAACAATTCAAAATACTTGTAGCCATGAAGAGATGTGACCGGTCTAGGACCCCAAATATCAGTGTGGACAAGATGGAAAGGATCCGTGATAATAGTCGTACTCGAAGGAAAGGAAATACGAGTAGTTTTAGCTTCAACACAACTTTTGCAACAAAAATCCGAGGACCGATCGAGTTTAGAAAAAGAACCAAATAAATTTTGCCAAACATGGCTACAAGTCTACTAGAATTGGGATGACCCAATCGAGCATGCCACAAATGAAATTTATGATCCTGAAGACTCGAATAAGCTGGAAAAGTAGATACCCTAGATACCAAAGAAGAATTGGACAGCGAAGATGATTTTGAAAAAGTGGATGACTGGGTGAGCTCATCCAGAAGAAACACACGACCATGCTTGCTACCCCTCCCGAGCTCCCTCCCCGTCTTCAGGTCCTGCACAACACAACCCGAAGGTGCAAAAGTAACACGACAACCTTGCTTAGTAAGTTGACCAACCGAAATCAAATTGGGAACTAGTTGCGGAACATGAAAAGTGGCAGGCAAACTAATGTTCGGCCCCTGAACTGAACCAATGCCGGAAATCTGTAACTTAGCACCATTTTCCACTTGCAAGAACTGATTAGTAACTAGACGAACATTCTCAATAACCGAACAATCACGGGTCATATGATTAAAACATGCCAAATCAATGATCCACTTAGGAAATCTTATTTACTAGTTGCTCCAAGGCTGCAGGCGTGACAACCACCCCATCAGAACCTCCCATAGCATTAGTGGCATAAGCAGGACGTGTGACCTATTGAGAAGACCCACCATAATAGGAATTGTGTGCACCCGAACTTGATCCAGTATGGCCACCATAGTTTCTGCCTTCGGTCACTCTCTCCTATATAAGCCTGCAATCGGCAATAATATACCCACGTTTCTTGCAATAGACACAGAAATTACGTTTGCGGCACAACTTCTTGGTGTGCCCCTTCTCCCGGCAGTGCTAACATTCAATTTCGAAGAGAGGACGTCGCGGACCCTGGGAACAGTAAGCAGGAAAGGCAAGATGCTCACTGGTGGCCTTCGCTAATTCATTGGCAGCAGCAGCCTAAAGCCCCCAAAGGCAAGCTGCTCACTGGTGGCCTTTGCAACATAAGGCCGGTGCAAGCCTCTTCCGCCTCAACTTCGTCCCCAGCCTGGACGACAATTGCTTCATCAACCCCCCTTCCTTATTTAGAATTTAATTCCTCCCTTCGGAAAAGATCAAGAACTTCCTCTAATTCACTTTCGTCATCCTCCACAACTTCATTCCTCATCCTTTCTCGCTCTCCTTCTTCTAGCACGGATTGGAGAGCAAGTTGCCAAGAAATTTCTTTCATGAGATCATCTTGCATCTCCTTGCTCATGCCCACCTCTTCAAAGCTCGGTGTGGGAAGGTGTGGTCGGCTACAACAGGAAATTCTTGATCATGATCTTCACAGGAGCTCTTCGTGACAACTTCGTTTTGCTCCAAAATGTCCTTGTAGCCTTCGTCTTCCTCCTCCTCTTCTAGTATAGTAGCAGAAGGGTGATCTTGAGCAAGTTGTGCACAAACTTGCTCAACCCGCTCTATTTGCTTTGCTGAGTGCAGAACAGTCTCCTCCGATTCCCGAAGGGATGAAGAGTTAGGAGGAGAAAACGATGGGAAAAGGAGGTCCATCTTGCGATTACGTCTCTCGGTGTCCCGAACAAACTGCTCCACGGGAAGCCTCAATTCTTAGTTTGTATCTGTTCGTGGAGTGTAGCATGGCTCTGCAGAATGGCCCATGAAGGCTGCCATGGCTAACTCCAACTCCGACGGCCATTCTGGTTGTGGGAGGAATTCTTCTTCATAGGGATATTGTTCTTGAAATGTCCAAGGGTCCGGTTGTTCTCCATAGTAAGGGGGTTGGTATTGGAACCCGAATCCATAGTCTTCTCCTCCTTGATTGCTTCAGGAAGTCTCGGGGTAATACCACTCGGACGGTGGTGGATACCCCCAATGGTTGGAGAAGCCATGAGGATCCATGATTCAGATATGCACCAACTAAAACAAAAACACC